AGTCAGTTATATTAATATAATATGATATGGCGTGTGGGGGGGGGGGACAGTTGTCAGGTTACTGTTGCTAACAGATGTTTTATGTATGAGAACTCAGAGCATGTTTAAAAAAAAATGTTGCACTTTTATCAGTGATGGAATGGCTTATTGTTTATTTTATAAAGTTAGCATAAAGTAAAATACATCTGTTAATTTGTGACTTATATAGAACTTGGACCAACCACAGATCTGTGAAAATATTCATAGCAATGTTTACTATAATTTTGATCCTATTACATGTATTTTCATGAAATTTAACAAGCTTTAAGTAAACATTACAAGTTTTTTCTATACCACACAAAAAAACAAAAATAATTTTAAACAATATTTTTAATAAAGGTTTGTCTGTGAATTTATGAAGCCTTTACTGAGTCAATCTGAGTGAAAGATGAAAGAATAAAATACTCCTTTCCTAAGATCTCCTGAATGAAATACCACAAGTTTTATGCTAAAACTTTATATTTTATCTCTCATGTTTTAACCCTAACATTATTTGTAGGGAATTCATCATGAAATGAAAAGTTGAAACATATGGAATAAAATACAAAAATACCGTATATTTTCTAAACAGATTGCAGAGTGTAACAGACAATTACAATTATTTATCCTAACTGCCTCAGCTTCTAACTTTTTCACATTTAACTTTATATTCTTATTGTATTTGGAACCCCTCTCTCTGTATGTGAAAAGCAATAAAACTTCCAGTGGGAGAGACTAGAGCTTAGGGTAAACAAATGGTTAGGTTACAAGCCACACGCTTTTCCTCAATGAGTGATCACAAAGTATTTTTGATTTTATTTCATTTAAATTTTCTTACATAACTCAATAAATTTTTTATTTTTACATTTTAGTTACTTTTGTTAAAAGAAATGTATATTTGTACAATAAAAAAAATACACATAAAAACATGGCCTCGAGGTCATTTTTACTTTGGTACTATGCTTTAGTAAGCCTACTTTTTTCTAACTTTTTTGTTGGTTGTCCAAAAATAATAATTAGTGTAGCTTTCAAATGTGCATTTTATAGTATAAAAAATATATCAAAACTAGAATACAGTATCCTAAAACTACTATAACTTATCTGGTATTCTTACTAAATTATAAACAGGTTAAAAATTCCATTACTGCTCAGAGCAACAACTTCACTCAACATACATTTTCTTGCAAGTTGCTAACTCTGAAAACCAAAACTGAAAACAAAATCAGCATAAAAAGGCCATGAATCAAAATCTGGTCTTTCTATTGGTCATAAACGTGTCCATTAAATACATACTATGTGATTTAAAAACTATACTAAAGCTACAACAACATAGGAGGAGTGTCTTTGTGAATTTGATAAAGTTAGGAGATTCATATTTTATAGTCTGGCCTGTCATTACATATAGTTTATGTTTCTAATCATTTGGACGCTTGGAAACTCTTATAAAGGGATAGATAAAATCTAAAAATGAGAATTCAAGGGGGACAGGCATTACAGATAAGTGAAGATTGAGAATTGTTTAAATAATTCCTTTGGAAATTAAAACTTTGATAATATAAAACTTTGACTTATAAATTACATTTTAATTCCAAATTTATTAGATTTGGAATTTAATTCTGTAAAACTGTTACTCATCTTGATTAAACCAAGATCATAGGGTTAAAGACTTTAACCTGGTCACAACTTGTTTCTAATAAACTAGGGCCACTGTCAGTGGGATTGGAGGTACAAATGAACTTCCTTCTGAACCATAAATAAACATTAATTCCATAGGCTTCCATACCTTCTTGCCAGTTAACATGAAACCAATATCTTTAGCACAACCAAAACATACTGAATTGAAGGACCAGATGCCCCATTTCTGGTACAATGTGAATGGTACGTATGCACCATTTTTCACCATACCGGTCAGCCAAACACCATGTTGTACCATCACACTTTGGACAGGATAAATCTTTCATTCAGGCTGTGGCCATTTGTTCACACCTACACACTCCTAGCCAGTTCAATACAGTTCTTTAACAGAAGGATACAAATATGTTTATCTTATAGTATATAATAAGGTGCAAAAAGGTATTTATATACATATAATTTCGATGTGCACATAAACTTCAACGACGTAATGACATCCAGTTTATTTTCAAAATAAAGTATTCATGATCGAGTTTTTGTTATAACACACGCAGGTTTACACGTGTACACACGTAGAAATATCTAATAAAGATGCATCGTGAACAGAAACGAACCTCTCCAAGTAAATCCAATCAATGCCCATGGTCTCTGATGACCAGTGTGTTTGTATTAACATAAAATTCATACTTACAATTCATTAACTACAAGTTTACTGGTAAATTTTGTACAAGAAATATTTATTACCTCTATCAAGTAAAATCATCTTCCCAATCTTCGAGTCTTCCTTCTTTGCAGTTTGAGTTTCTTCTTCTAAAGTTTCCATCAAGTCAAACACTAACTTTAATGGATAAGCAAAGTGTAAAATCAAGTGGTGCAAATAGCTTATAATGATTTATAAAGATAATAAACTAACAAGCTGTTACCTATTAAAATTCAAATAAGACTTAAAAAAATAAAATGAAAAAACTTTAGTTAAAACAATTGAAACTGACACTTCCAACTGGAAAATAGCAATTCTAAATGTATTTGGGAATTCCGTTGAATTTGGTTCTCTAAAAGTCACTGAACAGAAACCAGAAACTTGGGACATTGAATACCAGATACTATTGTTGGCTAAAGATGTTTTTTTTTGCATGTCTTTCAAAAATTTCCAAAAACTGTATTTATCATCCTACAATGAGGTAAATTTGATACATAAGTTAAGCTTTAGTGACTAAAAAATGTGGAAAACTAAAAAAAGTCTAACACGGAAAGTCATTCTTAGTAAAATAAACAAAAATCCAATGACATATACAAGAGAATAAAGCAAGTATGACATATACAAGAGAATAAAGCAAGTATGACATATACAAGAGAATAAAGCAAGTATGACATATACAAGAGAATAAAGCAAGTGTGACATATACAAGAGAATAAAGAGATTCTCAGAAATCATGTAATAGCCAATGTTTTGTTGTATACTTAGATTCTCAGAAATCA